ACGTATATTTAACCGGCTGTTTGCCAGGGAAGAGCGGTGTCAGACCAGGGCTGATGCCGCCTGGTCTGAGAATGACCTTGAGGTCACTCTGTCCCCGGTCATTACAGGATTAAGATAACCGTGGGAAGCTGCAGCTGTGAATACAGGTGCCCAACCAAAGATCCTGGGAATCGTGCTAGACTCCTTTTTCTCATTCCCCAGACTGCAGCAATCTCTGCATCTCTCGGATTTGTCCTCTCCTCCGCATGCTCTCTGCCACTGTGCCCCCATCACGTTCTCCCTAGATGACCTAAATACCCGCCTCACTCCATCCCTGTAGCTCATTTGCATACTACTGCCCAAGGAGAATTTTCAAGAATGCAATCTGATCACGGCATCCTTTGGCTAAAATTCTAATGGTTCTCTGTAGCCTTCAGGGTGGAGTCTAAGCCCCTTAGCTCGTGTACTAGCTCGGGGTGATCTCTCCTGCCGTAACTCTCTGTTCTCACTTTCCACCTTTCTCTGCGTCTCCATCCCCTACGCGCCTAGACTCCAAACACACCGGACCGCTCACGGTTCCGTGTAGTGGTACGCCTGGCGGTTTCTCATCTCTTCATCTCTGCACATGCAACTGACTAAACCATGCTGCCTCGGGGTTCAGAGACCGGGGCTGACGTACCCCTAATGCCATTGTGACACCCGGTTCTGGACTCAGAACCCGTCGGAAGTGGTGTTCACAAACAAAAACCTCCTCTCAAAGTGGGCCTGCGAGTCGAAATGCAGAAATTCATGAAGAAACATAATGTTGAAGACCATTAATTCATTCAATTTGACACTAAGCTCCTAGAACAATCTACTCGACACTGGGTATAAATAGGGAATCAAAGGGATAAATAAAGAAATGACTTTCACTGAAAAAGGGAAGAAAATACAAACCCCAAACAGACAGAAATAAGATAGTATTATACTGATCTAAAGTCCTAATAGTATATTTCATAGAATTTGACAAAAATTCATAGAAGGGAACAAAGAGCCAAGAAAAACCCTTGCCTTACTAGGTATCATAT